TTGAAACCAAAGCTAAACAATCTGATTTAATATATATATATTTATCAATTTAATTATGTATGCATATTTATATCTGTATTTTTATTGAAGTTTTCCCGAACTTTTAACCTGAACGCAAAGAACAATTGACTATGACGTCATAGTACATTTGACTTCACAATTATGACTTCATATACTCCGCGTATCATTGTGTAACGTTACATGAACTATGTAACTACTGTTGTTTATTTTGTAAAGCTTCTAAAGATAGAATGTAAGGTCCAAAGCTTTACTGAGGTTTTTCGTGTTTTTCTTCTTTATTTTAAGTATATATATATTTATACTTATAAATTAATAAATTTTGCAAATAAACTCCGAAACGGGTGCACCAGAGTTCTTAGTTACTCCTCTAAGAATGCACTAGATACAAGATGATGTCCGTAAACTATATTAAGATTTCACTCACATAGTAAGTATTGTATATTAAATTAAAAGTCTACTTTCATTTTCTATAAACATCCATGAAATAGCAAAAACGTGAGTATGGTGGTGGTTCCGGTTGGCGGATCTAAGTTAGTGTTACTGGCAATTTTTTAATGAAACTGACAACAAGCAATCGTTTATTTATTTCATAAAACGTCATCACTGAATTATTCAATCAAAACTTGTGATAACCGATTAAAAAGGGATATTTGCAAATATTTTCGTCATTCGCCAATCTTAATATTGACGGAAGCTTCTAGAACATCATATAGCATCGAGCCCAATGTTAAAAAGAAAAACGAGGCGATTGTAGCTGCATGAACCTAAAAAAAGTTTTTGTGTGAATGGTCATTGAAATAATGGTAAATCATTGATAACCCTATAAGTTGTGAATATATTTATACATCGAAAGACTATTAAATATAATTTATGTAGAAGGTTTTCCTAATAAATTTATTGGTAAAATTTGTATATATTTGTGTTCCTCACTGAGAGCATCGTGGCAACGAACCCAAAGTATAATTTGTACTTCGTAATAAATTTGCTTGCATGAAAAGAGAAAATCATTGAATGAGGTATTGTTCAAACACAATTAAAGCTGTAAAATTTTGTGCTTTAATCAATACATCTCAGATTTTTTTCTGAATACAGTCTTTTGTATCAGATTCTTGGCCTATTCATAGGGTGTTAAAACTAATTTTTACACAGGTACTTGGGTCTTGGTTTATAAATATGTATTTACCTTATTGAAATATAAAAAAGGAAAGTATATTTTTTACATAATAACAATAAGGTACATACATATTTATAAACCAAGATCCAAGTACCTGTGAAATTTTACAAAAGAAAAAAATCAATTTATCAGTAAAATGTGCATATTCGCTGCTTTTATCCTTGACGGAAATGAAATAAGAGCATCTAGAGTTAAAGATTCATAACATAGTATAACAGGTTTCACAATAAATGTCAATTAATGAAATTGTTATTTTTTCAAGTTCTTACAAAAAAAGGGAAAGGGGGGGAGGGGGGGGGGAGACATACATGTACTTCATGCAGGATTTTAAACACAGTATTTCTTCCTACTTAAGCCTGTAAGCTGTCAGTAGAGACTGCAATATATGTATTATTGGAATTTTTCTGTCGTTAGTGGTATAATTTCAATTACCCGCGCTTGCGCGGGATTTCATCTAGTATATATATATATATATATATATATATATATATATATATATATATATATATATATATATATATATATATATATATATATCTATCTATCTATCTATATATATCTATATATTTATATATATTTATATATATATAAATATATATATATATATATACAGGCACATAACAACGGTTTCAAAAGTGGGGGGGGGGGCAATTTCCCAAAAATATCTGTGAAGCAAAAAAAAAAAAAACTAAAGTGACCAAAAGTTGGGGGGGGGGCAACTTCCCAAATTAATCTGACAAGAAAAAAAACCTAAGACAAAAAGTGGGAGGCCAACCAGTACCTAAAGGAAAATTTACTACATTACCTACCAATCATGGAGGAAGCGCTCTACCAACTGAGCTACTTTGAAGTTCCCTTTGAATTGAAAATGTTGCAATAACCAAAAATATGGCCTTTCATCTTTGCATGCACAAACCCAATGAGAGTGTTTATTCTTCATCTGCTCTATTTTATTAGGACATAATTTCATTTTTGCCTACCTCCTCCTCTGGGGTAACAACATATGGTGGGTTGAATAAAAGAATGTCCACCTTTCCCTTCAATCTCAAGTCCAGACCATCCACCTGTCATCAAATCAAAATAAAGTCCAATGCAATGATACTGAACATATAAAAGAATAAAAACATCAACATACTGCACAACTTCTTGGTAAATTACAGATATTAAAATATACCAGATCTGTGATCACAGGTTGTATATTCACTCCATTTTCTTTCCCAGTATGACTTGCTAATTCTGTGGCTTTAAAGTTAATGTCTGTACATCTGAAGTTTGAATTAAAAGATACTTTGATACAAAAAATGTGTGAAGATAACTAGTATACATGTCATTCAACTTATGGTATATCTATGGTGAAAATTTTTTAAAAACATTTTTAATAAATGTCTAATATTGCCAATATGGGTAGTAGAGAGGTTTGTTGGTTTTATACGGACATATATGTATATTGGAACACTGTACATTCAATCATTTCTGCACATTGTAAATCAAGCACGCACAGCTTTTCAATTCATGCCAACTACTATACTTACGTTCTCCACTGTTTTCATAATCACATTAATTCCCCAAAATTATTAGTTATTTCTGAAACATAGGATGGCTAACTATGATTGGATATAATATGTCATTTATAAGCAATACAGTAAAACACACGCTTATAATGAATTATGCTTACAGTGAAGTAATTTTTATTCCCTGAGGCTTTTTAAAAATTATAACAAATTATGTTTATAATGAAGCAAATTGTCCATCCCTGGCATTTAGTTATAAGCGTCTTTTACTGTATATCTAATACCATAATATATGGTCACTGTTAACATCCCAAATTGACACAAAGGGATTGTCAAGTTAGTCTCCTGAACACTTTTAACATATTAGAAAAGTTTGTCAATTGATATTATGACCTTTGTACTTACAGATATGAAGAAAAGGACTTCAGAAGGGTGGCAAGGAATGTAATGCATATTCCTGATCCACAGCCAACTTCCAAACAAATACTGGGTCTACATTGATGAATACATAAATTATCTAAACATATTTTATAAACAATAAAATATCAGAATATCTATTTGGAGTTCTATCTGATCAAAAAAGATGTACATTTATCCCAATTACACCTTTCAACATGTTAAAAACAGAGGTACATATATTTTGTTGAAACACTATATGTCCTATTGTTTGTTTGTTTTTTTTTTGATCACATCATTCTACTCATCAAAGACATGGCAACAAAACTGTTACACTTCCTGTACGAGGGGTGATCAAAAAGTATGCGAACTATCTCTATTAATAATTACAAAACCACAATTCAGATCAGAATGAAATCTGACACAATATAGTCATAAATGTTCTATAAATAGCAGATGTTATGTAATGTTTTGCTCAATGTTTGTGACGTAACAATGCGAAAATGACGTCAATATATAGGTGACTTGTTACAAAAAATGGTTCACTCTTGCCATATATGCCAGGTCTGGTACAATCACTAGATTTAGCTACGTAGCTTGAATTACCTATATAGCTTTACCTGAAGTAGCTTTATTTAGCTACTTAATCAAGCTTATTTCTTAAATTAGCATTTTTTTTCCAGAAAGTGCAGAAAATTGCACTTTGATGCAGTATGTGATAATTTTCAACTTTGAACTCATCTGAAAACAATTCATGAAAAAATCACTCCTGGAGATGTGTCTTTTTCTGCACAATTGCAATCAAAGTTCTAAAAGTTTTGGAGCTATATACAACAGTTAATTTGTGACCTGACAGTTACTTATTGAGTGAAATAACAAAGAAAACCAGTTTTGGTTAACAGGAACACAATGTGAAGTAATCATACTTATCCACGCCTCATCGCACACAAGGCGGTATACAGCTACTCAAACAATGGAAATACATATTTTCCTTAAAAGTGTTCAAATGCAGCAATGTTAAAACTATCTCTGCTTTAGATTGCTTTTTAAATAATACGTAGAATAAATATTAGTAGAAATTTACTTGCGACTTTTTGTCTTTTTAAAATATAAAAGCAAAATTATGAAAAGTTGCCTTGAAATAGCTAAATAAAGCTACTTGAGGTAGGTAAATAAAGCTACGGTTGGTAATTTTAGCTACATAGCTAAATGTACTGATTGTACTGGACCTGTATGCCATAATGTACTATATAAACTTATAAAGCATTTTACAGGTGCCCGAGACGAATTAATATAATAGATCAATATGTATGATAACTTGTATATACATATAAATATATAATAAATGTATTTATATGTATATTTGAGGTATAATACATATTGATGAATATTTAATAATTTATTAAGACTCATGCAGCACTAGCACCCGTGACGCATGTTATTTGTTACCGTAAACGTTGAATACGCTCGTGATCTTTTTCGAGTGCATCTAGTAGAAGAAAAGAATCCTCTGCTGGTTCGTAAATATGATTGAAGTCTTCAGTTGTCAGATGAGACAATTTTGGAGTGGGAAAATTAGCGTCTGACATCTGTTTTGTTACTTACTAAGTTACTTGTAGGTAATATGCAGGTTTGACAAATATTGGAACAGCAAACCCGATTTATTTTTTTTTTTCACACCATAGTGGACATGGGCAACGAAGTTTTAAGCTGCATGTATGTGTTTTTTACTTTTTAGGACTTCCATCTCCTCTACAAACTTTTAACTGTACTTCAAGATAAAAGTTAAAGAATGATTTTGCAAAAGAATGTGACATGTGCTAAGTTTAACCTTTTTTTTTGTCTTCTCGCACAGCTATCAAAGGGGTGTTGCTAAAACGCGGAACGGAAAACGGGGCAAGCGGTAAATCTAGTCTTCCCGACTCCCGACGCCCGACTCCAGACGGTCCCGGATTTTGGTTTTTTGGCGATTTCTTTTTTTATCGATGCACAGAAAATCTTCAAACTTTTCAGGTACCTTTTCTAAGTTTAAATGAATTCATTAATACATAAAAACCTTAATAAATTTACGTATTTAATACTGAATCAGCAGTATCACCTGCCAAAAAGCGGTAAATCTAGTACTCTGTTATAAATGAGACATTCTAATAGATAATTGGGATGTGAGTCTAATTAATGTGCATTTTATTGACCATTGCATGTATATGCCACATGTTTTGAGGGGAAAAATCATGAATAAATCACATTGTTACGATGACTTTTAATTAGATATGAACTACATGCATTAGATAAAGAATAGTGCTTCCTATGTCTGAATTATACATGTGCATAGTGAAAAACTTGACATCAAATTTTCCGTTCCGCTTTCCGTTCCGTTTTCCGTTCCGCGTTTTAGCAACAGCCCTATCAAAGGGATTAAGATCATAACACACAAACTGATAAAAATAGCAAAAAGATAAGAGAAATATGTATGTTAGGGATAAAATATAGAACTTCTGAAAGGTAATGAGGTACCCGAATCTGGAATTAACCACCTGGCAAAAAAAATCGCAAATTTGGCCTGATAGACAATTTTTTAAAGATATCGAATCTTGCAGGCTTTAGACGACCATACTTTAAAAATGTGGGCACTGTCCATGTTAAATGTACAGACAGTGCTGGTGGCAGTTGTGGTGGGGCTGTTGATATACTACATAAGAAGAAGAACCCTCTACCGCCTACCCCCGGGGCCCTGGTGTATCCCACTCATCGGCCATTTCGAAGGTACTTATCAACAAAAAATTACAATTAAAATTTCTGTAGTCTTTATACACTGTATGGCTATCTCATATCTGCAAGACATTTGCGTGTCACAGGCCCTTAGTAAGCTAAAGGGGGGGGGGATTAACCATATAAAGACTGGACAGTTTGGGGGAGGGGGCATCCAAGCAACAACAAAAAAAAAAGTAAAAAAAAATTAAAACAAAGTAAAATAATAAGTGGGGGAGGGGTCATTCAGACCTTATGATTGAGAAGGTACAATCATATAATTGCTTTGTTCCCTCGGGCTATTATTTTCTACTGTATGATATTATTGGGTAGAGGGGCACCCCCAACCTTTTCGGTTCCTAAGGGCCTGCTTAAGTAACACGAGAGGAAAATGTCAAACTGAGAATGACAAATTAATGAAATAATGTTTTGCATGGGGTCGTTGATGATCGCAGGTTATTCAAATTAATTCACAAATATGTCCAAAATCCTACCATTGTACATATACATAATTATGTACTAAAAACATATTTTTTTAATCTGCGAGGTATTTAGTATATTCAGAGAATGTAGAATATGTTGGTCCCCATTAAAAACTTAATGACAGACAAAAATAACGGTACCTGTTATAATAACAATGTACAAAACCCATGAAAAAATCTTTAAGAACCCTCTCTACACTGCACACTAAAGAGTTCTGATACTATGGTATTTTTCTACAGTTGGAGTGATCTGCCCTTAGATCTAAATTCCAATAAATAGAAATTTACAGTATACTACTCAATTTGCAATCAATATAAGTATTCTTAACATTTTAAAAGGCCAATTAATTGAACATGTTAATATTTACATGTATTTTCTTCATTGAAGTATACAACTGTGATTTCTGTTCACTTATACTGTGTTCTGTTTGAACATTTTTCCCCCGGGTAAATGCCACGTACCATATATTAAAAATTAAATAGATAGGTCAATATTTACATCTTTATTCAATATAATTTTCTCGATGTCCAAAAAAAAAAAACATTTTGCACTGGTGTAGAGAGGGTCCTTAATGTTGATTTTTTTTTTTAATTTGTAATTATTATTATTATTATTTGCTGTAATTAGGAAAACTTTCAAAGAATGATATACTTGTGCTTAATTTATTTGTCTTCTGCTTACCAACCAAAAATAGCATGGATGTCCCCCCCACCCCACCCCCTTCCACACACACACACATCCCCCGGCAAAAAAGTTTGATGATTGTGATTATATATCCGTGAAAGGTTTTCTATTTAATAACAAGTTTCTTAAATGAATACAATGTTTCGTAGTCATTTTATGGCAAATAATTTGTCTTCGTGTTTACACTGACTTTTTATAATTCACGAATATTTCTGAATTCAAAAATTTTATTTTTGACTTGGGATTACGACACAAAATGAAAGTGACGAAAATAATGCGGATTAGATTGTTTGCTTTACTAGTAAAAAGAGGTACATGTATTGCCAATTTTAGATTTTTGATTGTACCTTTACCACCAAAGTAAAACGTGCTCATTTATATATCCAATTCTATGATAGCAGATTTTTTTTCAGTTTATACCAAAGAGTTGGTACACAGAATAATCCTCAAACTTTCCAAGAAATATGGACCTGTATTTCGTCTGTCATTTGGTATGGTAAAACATCGGTTTGATTTTAATATATTTTTCTGTGTCATTTCGTTTCTTTTCAAAATAAGATGAACACCAAATGTAATATTTTGCAAGATTTTATATATTATGTCATGTTTTTCTAAACAGGACCAACACCTTTTTTATTTCTAAACAACTATGAAGTTGTGATAGAGGCATTGGTGAAAAGGAAAGCCGACTTTACAGGAAGACCATCTTCCACAGCATGTCAGTATATTACATGAAACTTAAGCCCCGTAACGGTGATTTCTGTTTATAATTAAACAAAATTAAAATTTCATAATTAAAGAAGATGGGCGTGTTTGGCATGTGATCTGCAGGAATAAGGCGTACGAAACATTTATAGTTTAAATGTCTACGATTTGGTCGGTTGACCACAGCTGGACATACTTTACAAAGTTACGCACATGGGAAAATGTTACATTTAGTTTGAAATATTTTGTCATATATTTAATATATCACTCCCCTCATCTTAATAATTACTACGTGTAAAACTTATTAACGCTTCACATAAATAATAAACACATATAGGGTATAGTTAAATGCAATTACAAGTATATGTATATATTAAAGTACATGTATCAGTAGGTTGGAAGAATTGCTTTCGCTTTCGGTGCAACAGAACCAGAATTAATTATCTATTTGAAAATAAACAAGTACATAAAATTAAACTGACAAAATAATTGATTGTTTGTACTAAAAAAAAATACTAACGCTCCATGCGAGGATCGAACCAAAAATATTTCCTTTTTCACTGAACTGGACGGGTAACGCATACTACTGAAGCAACACCGCTACAGACACTTTATGGTTTTTAAAGCGACAATGAAGCACCGCATTTACACATTGGAATTTTTTTGGGAAAAGTTCATTTTTTATCGTCTTTGGGTCTTCTCTCCATTTTTTACAAATGTTTGTTAGTTTCTTTGAATTAAAATACACACAAATAACGTTTCAAAATCATGGAGAGATGACCCAGAGATAGCAAATTTTTAGAAAAATGTGTTTAAAAATGTAATATTTTGTACCAAATAACTCATCTAGCCAATTTTCAAGTTCTTTTTTAGCAAATCAAAATACAATATCAGGAAAATATTTCCCTTTCCTATTTCACAGGAACTCGATACGTGAAAAGAATGCTAAAATTTCATGTGACATATCAATGAAATTTTCACTTTTCAAGTGCGCCCAGATTCCTGCCGAATACCAATCAAAAGCACCCTCGTTCTTAATCCAGAAAAAAATGTTTAGTTTAAGATTTGAAATGAAGACGTATGATAAAAGACGAAAACTATAAAATGTATTCTGTGTTTAGTTTCTTTGATATCCGAGGGTTTCAAAGACATAGCGTTGGCCACGTACTCGCCTATGTGGAAGTACCATCGGCGAATAGCCACGAAGGCTCTAAGGTATATAAAAATTCAGTGTTCAAATTAAACATTGAAGAATAAAAAAGAAAGAAAACAAGGCCTACACTTTATTATTGGAATTAACCATCTAGATTCTTTGGGTAAAATATACAACTATTCATACTCTCCAAAATGAAGGAAATATTGAACAAAATTTATAATTATCTCAAAAACTACAATTATATAGTTGGATAAATCTCATACGATTTGTATCTTCTTTGAAAGGAATTATTTACAAGGTGATCTCTTAGAGAAACTTACTCAGGACAACATGACAAAAGTGATGAACATGATGGCGGCGGAGAAGGGACCTTTTGAACCCAAGCCTCACTTAGATAACATTGTCTTTTACCAGTTATATACGATTTGCTTTGGAGAAAAGTGAGCTTTTTTCATAATCATTTTAGCCTTTACAAAACATTTTTTTAATATTAAGAATATATTTACCCCAATTTCCTTGATATGCCGGCATTTTCTCGTATTTTTTCTAGTGTGTGAAGGGAAAAACCACTTAATTTCACCTTTTATGTCTAAAATATAAAAAAAGGCTGAGTAATTATTCATCAAGGCAAAATGTCAAATTTCAATTACCTATTCTTTGTTGTTACGTGTATATTTACTATATAGAACAATTTCAGTTATTTGGAATGTGTTTTTGCTTTCAAAGAAAGGATATCGGTGATGAAGACGTGGAGTCTATTATCAGAAAGAAAGACTTGGTTAACAAAGCCATTGGAAATGGTATTCGGGAGGATCTCTTGCCCTTCTTGAAGGACGTGTGTCCGTCAGAGCGTTACCTCATTATTAAAAGAGAGACAGACGTCGTATTCGGATTCTTTTATGAGAAGTTAGATGAACACAGAAAGACCTTTGATCCCGGTTAGTCAAACAGAAAGGGTTGAAATTTTTATGACATAATTATACAACTGCAATACCTTTTTTTTCAAGTATAGTATAATGGTTTTAAGATTCTTAGAATTTTTTATGTGGATAATTTATAACCCTATATATATATATATATATATATATATATATATATATATATATATATATATATATATATATATATTACAACAAAATTAGAGAGTAAAAAGAAACTTCTCTTATGGTGGACAAAGTAAAATGTAATTGACAAAGACAATGTAAATAAACAATCCATATAACATTTAGTCAATTGGTTTCTTTCCTTAAGACAATATTCGTGATCTGATCGACCATCTGCTTTTGGCAAAATCTGAGGCAGAACAAGCCGGCGACGAAGAATCCATGGAAAAGCTGACTGACACATACTTAGTGCAAACCGTGTCAGACATATTTTTCGGTATGTAAATAAAAACACTATGAATTTATAACACAACATTTTTGTGTCTGCTTCATCAGCGTTTTATTAATTTGTTGACGTCTGTGATTTTCAATAGCTGGAGTGGACACTACCAGACTGACGTTAGAATGGTTCCTCTGCTTTATATCTGGAATACCGGAAATCCAAGCCAAATGTCAAAAAGAAATCGATCAAAAAATTGGTAAAAAGAATAGCTGTTCAATTTTAAGTTCTTTTTAGATACTATTTATGATTAGAAAATACCCGTATTTGTTGTATGAACAAACATTCCTCTAATATTTTTATCTGATAATCTGTAAGTCTATCAGGTACATGTAATATGTAGAATCCAAATTCACGAGGAATAGCTAGAATCTTAGTATTAATGTATTTTGAAACCTTTTTTGAAATATAGGAAAACGTTGTCCCACAATAGCAGACAGACAAGTTTTATCCTATACAGAGGCATGTCTATACGAAACTTTAAGACTCGGTGTTATAGCGGGACTTGGTTTACCCCATACTACCATCTGTGATACCCAAGTTGGTATGAATTATACGTGCTATTTTGAATATTTTAAAAACCAGTTGGCATTTGTTTAAGACTGCAGCATTTTATTTTAACTCTGATCTTCAATTGCATGAAAGAAAATATGTCAGACTCTGTGCTTTTAGTGCATTGAAATGTCAAATTCCTATATAGAGAAAAAGGTACGATTTGGGCTTTATTGTGCCCTAAAAATTTAATGTTCTTAAAAGTTATGAAATTGGCTTAAATATGAGTTGAGTAGATGAATGTGAAAAATCACGAAAGAATATGACATTAAGGAGGACCATATGGAAATATGACATCATTAATGTGTAACAAATTTAAGTTAAATACTTAAATTTGTTACACATTAATGACGTCATATTTCCATATGGTCCTCCTTAAAAAAATCTCAAAATGACTCATTTCAGGGGTTATTTCCCTTAAGAAAATACATGTAGTGTCCACAGCCGTCGCCCACTTTAATTTTTGGATATGTTGTGTAAAATCCTGTAAAAAAATCACATTTATCAAAATCTTTGTGGGCGATGCATGTGCTCTATATTATTTTATAGAAAATTTTACTGAAAATTGATGTTTTCTGTTACTTTTTTAAGAAAATACGGGAAAATGCACAAGTTCATGACGTCACAATTAGCATTAAGGAGGTCATTTTTATCTTCTTACTGCATGGAATTTCAGTGATTCAAAAGGCATTAGTTTTATTTTCTTACATCTCTTTCATATATACATGTATTTAAGAAAAATACAGGGCAAAATTTGTTTTGAAATCGTACCTTGTTCTTCCCCAATAGGGTATAGATGTACATATAATTATATCATGTGATGGGAGCGACAATGCTAGCATTCCGACACATTATGATTAAATTATTTTAATGCACATTTTAATATTTCGATTTTTTTCTAGTCAGTTTTATACAATATGTTTGTTTTAATTGGTAAAGGTGGCTACGATATACCCAAAGATACAGTCGTTATGATCAACCATTATGCATTACATCGAGATCCAAAATATTGGGAAAATCCCGAGAAATTTGATCCTTATCGATACTTAAATGAAGACGGAAAGGTAGATCCTACCAAACTGGACAGTTGGCTGCCATTTTCTGCTGGAAGGAGGATGTGTTTGGGTGAATCTATAGCCAAACCGGAAATCCTGATGATGTGCGTACATCTTTTGCAACGTTTCAACATTTTACTTCCGTATGGTGTTAAACCAAATTTTGTTGGTGAACATCTTTCTGTGTTCGGAGCAGAAAAGCCAATGGACTTAAGGATAGTTGTTAAAGAACGAAATAATAGTAGCATTTAAGTACAAAGTTTCTCTTTGCTGTTTCATGGTACGCCTAGACAGTTTCTAGAAAGACCTGTTTCGGGCATGAATCCACATGACTTACATGCAAAGAATAATTTTTTTGCAGTATAATTAATTATGTACAATATAATTAATATACATGTAAAATGCATTAATTAAGCATGGCCGTAGGAACCGGGGGGGGGGGGGGGGGGGCACGGGGGGCATATAGAGTACTATAGAAAAAATAGATACTATATGCTTGTGCCCCCTCAATGAAAGTGCCTGATGACCTTTTTTTTTTTTTTTTTATTTATGCTTGTCAAGGAATTTTTGGTAGTTGATAGTGCCCCCTCAATTGAAAATGTATGGCTGTGCCCCCCCCCCCCCCGACTAAAATTGCTTCCTACGGGCCTGTTAAGTAAGATACAGTATATTGAAGGGAACGCGCTACCATCAATAAACTTTTAGTAATGTTTGTGTTCTTCAAATTAAACTTTTGTACAAAATTGTTAACTGATCTTTTATTAAATCTACATCACAGATGATTTTCATTTTCTCTCTCACATTTTCAGCAAGCTTGAGAAAGGAGCCGTAAAATTAGAAAGATTGCACGTTTTTAGCTCTACTGGTCGGAGACCAGAAAGCTTATGCGATAATTAGGTGTCCGTCGTCTGTCTATCTGTCCGTCTGTAAACAATTTTTCAAAATAACTCCTCCTCCAAAAGTTTTGGTCTGATTTCAGTATAACTTGGCAAAGAAGTAGACTACACTAAGTACGTAATTCTGTGTATTGGTTTTTGATTTTGATGAACGGTATTGCCATGGTTACTAAAAATAGAAATTTCTGTGAAAAACTTTCAAAATACTACTCTTCCTATAGTTTTGAACTGATTTCAGTATAACTTGGCACACAAGTAGACTACAGTAATACCCCATTCATACGACACGATTTGCAAACCTCAGTATATTTTACACATATGTAAATTTACTCACATGTGCAATTTTTGTCGTATGAACTGATTTGCTCATACGCAAATTCTGCACAGTTGAGTAAATTTGCACCTGGTCAGGATAAGGTGTAAGTTAACTTTTGCATACACGTTGTCGCAAAATATTTGCTCCCGTGTGTAAAGTTTATCGTATGAACGCGCAGCAAATTTTACTTATGTAAGTTTTTCGTCATGTGTATTGCATCAATCTCCATTTTAAGCGTTGTTACGGTTGTATATGCATTGGCATGTAAAGTATCAGTCGGTAAACACAGCGGCTAGAAAGCAAAGCTCTAAAAATACGCGGATTTTCAAGGGTCAGTCTTGCGCTACGTTAACAATAATTAAAAGTGAACCGAGTTTCTGTAAGGGTAGATCTGTTGGTGTATGGCTTCAAAAGCCAAGTCTTCAAAGGATATACGCTGGGTCGCCGAGAAGTACTACTAGCATAGTACTTACTCCACATTGCTTTCTCCACTCAGGGAACAAGGAGCCATTATCTCTTCTGAAATAAATTTTCGAATAAGCAAAAACGCGGGCATCGTGCACCCTTCCTGGCAAACCCATGTTTATGTCTCTAAAGATATAACTGTGGTCGCAAACACCCTGCAGATTCAATGACTAGAATCCCTTCCTATTCAAGAAGTCTCTGTGTGAATGCTTAGGAGCTATGATAGGAATATGCGTGCCATCAATCGCTCCACCATAGTTTAGCCATTGATGACTTTCTTCATCCTTTCTCAATTTTTGAATTGAGGCAGGCTACTGACAGATAAGTTGATGTTACAGGGATTTCAACAACCTCGTTTCAAGTCGGCATTTGGTAAATAGATAGATTTCATGACGCATTTTCCCTTCGAGTTATTTCCCTTGGCCGCCATCGAGATCAAATGGTATTTGAGCAGAAATATAAGGAGGAAAAATTTTAAATTACTAAACCTATGAACTAAAGGAACCCTTTGTTAACATATATTCGTAAGGAAAACTGTGTTATCTTCACCTCATTGTCCAGTATGAGAAGTTTAAATTGGTTGAATAATGAAGGAATCTGGCCTTGTTAACGTCCAATATGGCAACAGACGGAAAATTACTCTATGGTCATTATAATGATATTGTTAGCAAATATAACCTATCATTTGATCGTATTTTGGCTGACTTGTTTCATACCAAGTGTAAGGACTTTGTTTTATACTGAATTTTACTACAGAATGTTCCATCTAACTATCAATACATAGGGTTTACGGCGGGTGTGACCGGTCGACAGGGAATGCTTACTCCTCCTAGGCACCTGATCCCACCACTGGAATTTCCAGGGGTCCTTGTTTATTCCCTCTTCACATACATGTATTTGTATTGTTCGAAGATTTTTGAGATCAATCACAGTTTGTTATCTTCACCCTTTTCATTCTCCTTCTGGAAAATACACATATTCTTCAAGCAGATGTTCCATAATGGCCTCGTAAACTTGATGTTTGCAATCATACATGGTAGATTTCCCAACACCAAAAAGATTTCCAATCACCCCTTATTCCTCTGAAGACGCTAACCAGTAGATGGTAACAGCCACCTTCTTCTTTACATCCAACGGCTCTTCTACAGTCTTTAGGCCGGGAACACACCATTTTCCAACTTCTCACAAAATTTTATGAAATTTTCCTTAATCATTCGAAAATTCTCATACCAATCTTCGTCCTTTAAGTCATAAAGAACGGTTTTGTCCTACCAGTCATTGGATCGGATTTTTCTTCTAGTTTCTTTGAGGAACATCCAAAAGTTAATCCTATACCCAAATTGTAAGTTAATCCTATACCCAAATAGTAAGGAAATACCCCTTTTCTGTGAAAATTCACAAGTCTGAAGCGGTCCTTATTTTAAATGACAATTTGAGGATTTACTTAAGGTACATAAATCTCGTCTGAACGCATAGCAAATTAACTTTTACTTATGTGTGTTAATTTACTCATCTGTTAATTTGCAAACATAAGCAAATTTTCGTCGTATGAGTGGGGTATTAGATACATAATTCTATACTTTAAGGAAGGGTGTTCCCATGGTTACTAAAAATAGAAATTTCTGTGAAAAACTTTCAAAATGCTACTTACTTGGTACACAAGTAGACTTCACTAAGATACATTACTCTGATTATCAGTTTCTGATTTCGATGAATGGTGTTGCCATAGTTACTAAAAATAAAAATTTTCTTGAAATACTTTCAAAACGCTACTCCTACTACAGTTTTTGTCTGATTTCAATATAACTTGGCAAACAAGTAGACTACACTAAGATACATAATTGTCCTTACTGTTTGTTTGTTTGTTTGTTTGTTTGTTTTTTTTTTTTGATGAATGATGTTGCCATGGTTACTAAAATCAAAAATTTCTGTAAAATTCTTTTAAAAGGCTACTCCATATACAGTTTTAGTCTGATTGCAATAAATCTTGACACAAAAAGAGACTAAACTAAGGATCATTAAAATGATTCTGTTTATTGCTGTTGCAAAGTTTCAAGTCCAAGTGCTACCTTTATGTTCCTTTGTTATAAGTACAAAACAAACCAGTAGAGCTACAGTCTCGTCAGAGACTTCTGGTTGTATTGTATTGTATTGCAAAGGAGTCTTAATTTCATTAAGACTCCTTTGCAATACAATACAACCAGAAATCGTGAAATTATGAGATATAAGAAGAGTACTTGTTTATATTTTTCATTGAAATATAAATGACACGTTTTGGAAGAAGAAAGCACATGTGTCATGGCCGTAGGAACCGGGGGGGGGGCACGGGGGGGGCCAATAATTTTGTCGATATATAGTTTAGTATAGAAAACATAGCTACTATATGTTTGTGCCCCCTCAATAAAAACGTCTGATGACCCTTTTTTTTTTTTTTTTTTTTTGCTTGTCAAGGAATTTTTGGTAGTTGATAGTGCCCCCTCAACTGAAAATGTATGAAAATGTATAGCTGTGCCCCCCCCCCCCCAAACTGAAATTGCTTAATTCCTACGGGCCTGTGTGTCCAGCTACTTTATTCTTACTTACTTACTTATGCCTGCTACCCCTTTTGGGGCATAGGCCGCAGACAAGATTCCTCCAGGCCCCTCTATCCTGAGCAGTGCTTTCAACCTCCTTCCAGTTCTTGCCCATTCTCTTAATATCTGCCTCTAGATCTCTCCGCCAGGTGTTCTTTGGCCTACCTCTCCTACGTTTTCCTTGGGGGTTCCAGGATAGGGCTTGCCTTGTGATGTTATTGTTGGGCTTACGTAGAGTATGCCCTATCCACCTCCACCTTCTCTGCATTATTTCCTCTTCTATAGGGGCTTGGTTTGTTCTTTGCCACAAATTGATGTTGCTGATTTTGTCGGGCCATCTGATCTGGAGGATGCGTCTCAGACAAGAGTTGACGAATGTCTGGATCCAGTTTGTTGTGGTAACAGTCATCCTCCATGTCTCAGAACCATATAGAAGCACTGCCTTAACATTGCTGTTAAAAAGCCTAACTTTGGTGCGTGTTGTAATTCCCTTGGTCTTCCAGATGTTTCCAAGTTGCAGGAATGCTACTCTGGCTTTACCTATTCTTGCTTTGATGTCTGTTTCTGTTTGTATAGTGGACCAAAAAGGAGGAACGGAAACAGGCTACTTTATTCACCACAGGTTAATTAAACCCCCCGATCCCCACCCCCGTTCTCTCTGCATTAGATCCTAATTATGTTTTGGTCGAGAAATGATTAAAATCCTCGTTCCTCCTTTCTTTCATAGTAATGTGCTCGATTCCTTCAGACCTGGCCTCAATACATTTAAGGCATAGAGTCAGAGGCACTTCCCATCTGATTTTGTAAACGACGAAATGATAAGTCTACATTATAAAACACACATTATTTCGTCATAAAAAAAATTACATGTAGTTAGCTTATACTGGAGTGGATGGTTCCTGTATTAAATGTAAGGAGTTTATTTTTAAGTGTCCTTCACCTTAATGTTTGTATAGCAAAATTTCGTCAGTTTTTCATGTATAAAAGCTCCAGAAAGCACAAAGATGTAGCGTCAGTATATGATACGAAGACAAAATGAATTAAGGTAAGTCTTGCTTTGAATGTATATAGTTATATGTACTCAGGTACTAACAGCTTATGTATGTAAAACTCTAGGTAAACATAAGGATTAAAATAAAGCTATAGAAAACAGGACAATGTACAGTGTATACATAGGCCCCCCGACGTAGATATTTTAAGGCGTGGATCAAAGTTTTCTACATTAATCGGAAATAATTAAAATTTTTGTTCCATCTAAATAATTATAATGAGAGCTGCAAATTTCATTTATTTGTAAGATACGACATAATTATGACTTTCTCAACAAGTAATATGTATACATTTATGAATGCAGTCTCTGAAATCAAGTGTGATTGAACAAGATGCTGGGACTCTCGCTTTTAAATGTACAGACCGTCTTGGTGGCTGTAGTTGTGGGATTGTTGGTGTACTACATCAGAAGACGGACCCTATACCGTTTACCCCCGGGACCATGGTGTATCCCACTCATCGGTCATTTTAACGGTATATATGAAACATGTTAATCCACTCCAAGCACTTTCGTACTGTCTAGATTTACTGTGAACTCAATGAAAGCGTAATTAACACTAATCACTGATTTTTCCCGTAAGAGAAACACAAGGCAATTGATGTCAGCAGGCTGAAAACTGTAGCTCTCTGGTTGAGAAAATTCGAACAGACAAACTAGAGACAAGCATTCGATTTTTGGTGCACGCTTTGGGTATTATTTTTCCTGTGTTATGTAAAAAATCCTCCCCCTCCCCCGCCCAAAATCATGGTATCTGTTAATATTAACCATATATTTTACTGTGACAAAAAAGCGCTTTGCCATGGTAACTAAAAATGGAAAACTGTTTCAAAAGGCTACTTTTCCTTCAGATGAGTTTTGATCTGATTCCAATAAAACTTTTTAGACAAGTGTACTATACTCAGAAACATAACTCCGTATATCAGCTTTTGATTTCGACGAATGATATTATGGAGGGTAATCGTGTTCAAAAATCCAGACTTGTAAGTTTGTAAATCCAAACTTGTAAGTTTGTAAATCCAAACTTGTAATCGTATCAGTTTCATAGTCTACATATGTAAACTTGTAGGTAATTCCGACATCCTAGCATGTAGTTCCGAACATACAACTCTGTTGACTTTGAGTTTATATACTATAAATGTGTGTATTTTTGATGTTGTAAACTTTGTTTTCCGGAATTTATATTTCCGCGCTCTGAATAAACACAAAGACAATTGACAAGTCTACAATTGTAAAAGTCTACATGGTTGTCGAATTTTGATAATGAGAAACTATGGAGGGGCATGAGTGCCACATTTTTTTCCTTTTTTCATTCTAATTTCTTCTTTTTCCAATTTTATATTAATATTTTCATTTGAATTTCTTATTTAATTTTATTTCTAACTTTTTGTTTATATGTTCCAATTTTGTTTTATCTTCTTAATTTTATTTTATTTGACGATGTGACATGAATCATTACCCGCTTATTCACGGCTTGCGCGGATCTAGAGGGGCTTTGGTTTTTAAGGTCTCAACCGAAAAATTATTCAATTTGACTTTCAATGTCGAAGGAATAGTCATTACCAACACGTATGTTAAACGTCTTACATTTTGCCGGCCGGCACTAGGAACTTAGGACAAGCGAACTCTTAACCTCCCATGGCTTACGAAGCTAGTGCCCAACCACTAGGCTACTGTGATCTGCAGATCCGTATCGATGTTTATCGAAAGGGGGGAGGGGCTCCAAAAAAATTGACGATGAAAAAATAAATAAATAAACTGCCAAAACTCCTCCTTCATGAGAGGCTATGTTTAGGATATCTTTCTTTAACTATTCAGTAACTTTTTTTCAACGCAAGAATTTGCCAGAGTTTGATGATACTGCAAATGCTATAAATGAATTTTCATATTAAAACGGCTGCAAAAGATTATTCTCCACACAAAAAAGTTGGGAGCCCAACCTTTCGCTCCCTCCTATACTTCGGCCGTGAGATTTGTTGGTGAAAACAATTTCTCTGTCCTGCTGTAGAAAAATAATGTGATGACAATATAAATTTAAAGATACCTGATATTTGTGTATCATAAGCGGGCAATCAAAAATGGCGGTCATATTTATCATATTTGAAACATCTTGCGCCAGGGCCATAAAACTTAGACGGGCTTACTTTTGATCACAGTCTCACGTTTACCAAAGGAATTAATAGTATGTAGAAAAGAGAGACTGGGATCAAAAGTGAGCTCATCTAAGTTTTATGGCCCCGAACCAGGTCCGTTGGCAGCGAGTGGAGTCAGGGTGCCAGTATATACATGTAGTATACCACTAAAAAAAGAGCAACTTCTGATTGTGCCCCCTCAATAATTTTGTCAGTAAATATATAAGAAAAGAAATAAGGCTAATTTTTCGTTCTGCACCCTCAACAGGAATGTCTCATTTTTGGGGGGGGGGGGGGGTTTATCAAGAAATTTTTTCTTTGTGCCCACTGCTCCACCCCCACCTCCGCCCAATGAAAATGCTTCCTACGGGCCTGAAAACGCGAGAAAACACGCAAGAATGATATATGGTTTTTAAAATTAATAAAAAATGTTCCAGGGAAATGTTTCTACGTTTCGTAGCCGGCTAGATTGTTCGCCAAGATCTCTGTGTACTTGTACATAAAAGGCCGTAGCGCCCCTTTTCGTTCAAATTTTATTTGCATTTCTTAGTTTAACTCTGTAAGTTCTACTTTCTTAAACAACTTTCGATTTTGCTTATAGTTGTTACCAAAAAAGTATTAAGTTAGGTGAAGTGTAACATAATTAAAATTTTAAGATGGAATCAAAATACGAAAGGAATCCAAATTGCCATAACAAAATAAATAAAATAATATGAAACTGGGAAATATATCCCAGTCCAAAAATCAAAATCCAACCCAGAAATTTCTTGACAAGCCAAAAAAAAGTAAACTCCTTTCCAAAGTATGAAAAACTTATTTCTGGCGCGCTCGCGCGTGTGCGTGTTGGGGGAGGGGTGGGGTGGGGTGGGGTGGGGTAGTCGTCAACTATCAGATCAGCGTTTTCGAGGGGGTCCAAGGTCACTTTTAGTTCGTTTAGTATAAATATTTAATACATATGTAAGTCTGCAAATTTCAGGGGGAAGGGGGGGGGGGGGTTCCGGACCCCCTTCTAGATCCGCGCCTTCAAGAAGTAAGAAATAAAATAAGAAATAAAAATTGAAGAATTTAATTTGGAAAACAAAAAGTTAGAAATAAAAAAAAAATAAAATGAGAACATTTAAAAATAATTGTAGCACTGATGCCCCTCCAAAGTTTCTCATTATCAAACTTCGACAAACGTGTAGACTTTACATTTGTAGACTTGTCAATTCTCTTTGTGTTTTATTCAGAGCGCGGAAATATAAATTCCGGAAAACCATGTTTACAACATCAAAAACACACACATTCATAGTATAAATTCAAAGTCAACACAGTTGTATGTTCGGAACTACATGGTAGGATGTCGGAATTACCTACTTACATATGTAGACAATGAAACTGATACGATTACAAGTTTGGATTTACAAACTTACAAGTTTGGATTTACAAACTTACAAGTCTGGATTTTTGAACACGATTACCCTCCATATGATATTGCCATAGTTACAAATGTACTAAAAATAGAAATCTCTAAGAATTTCTTTAAAATGCTTCTCCTCTTACTGCTATGGTCCGATTTAAAAAAAAAAAGGTACCTGAATAGACTTCACTAAGATACTAATAGGTGCTAATAGGTGCAAGAGTAGGCCTATTTTTATGAATTACAGAATGATTTTATAATTTCGCGAAGAGTTACGATCGCCTTTTTAATTTGAAAACGGCAGTGTCTTGCATCAGTGTGACCTACTTATTATCAAAAAAAAGGTATCATGAGTTGTCAACTGTTACATGTAATCACACAAAATTCTACCCATTATAACTATGACGGAGGTTTGAAGAAAAACTAAGCGGGCATGCAGGTTTTCATGTAAAAATTCAAAGAAATGGAATTTCGAGTTTTTGCCGGATCTTATGATTGTTAATGAAAAGTAAATCACGTTAAAAGCAATCTCTTGAATAAATTGCACACCATTTATCCATAATTATGTTTTCATTGCTATTGCCATTCTTTCAAGTCCAAGTGCTACTTTATCTTCCTTTGTTCTACGCACAAATCAGAAGAGCTACAGTCTCGTCAGAGACTTCTGGTTTGGTTTTTTATGATGATGACCAAACGGTTCGTTCCTGTGATAATTTTATGCATAAACGCCGGTGTTTATGCAAATTATCACGTAACTTGAGCAAACTGCATGATTGATCACATCATAAAACCCTAAAACTAGAGAGTTATTTCTTAAATAAAATAAATATTAATAACGCAATGAAGTTTAATGATATCTAATTTTCATATACTACAAGCATCATATTTCTATTTATTTATGTTTTCAAACATTAATATTTTCTCATTTATTGACGATTACAATGAAGTCCAGCAGGCATGTTCACGAAGCTATCTTTGGACTATGCTGTGTCATAAGAACGTCTTAGCAAACATCTTTGTCTTAAGTCAGTTTCTCGAAGCTTTCCAAAATTTAGAACCTCGCCGTAAGTTCGTCCTAACTTTAGGACACCATAAATCTTGTCCTAAGATCATCCTAAGTTTTTGGTTATGCTTATTTTCTCTGAGTATTGCAAGTATAAGCGACAATTTCTAGTTCTTAAACAGTCTGTGTATGATCCGATGATTTACATAAATCATTTTTTCCCCACAAGTGTTAAGCCCTCGTCTTTATAACATTAGTTATTTTGTTCGATAATTTACAGATGATATCTATTTTTTCCACCTAATAGAAAAAGCACCTGAATTTTGCACTTAAAAATGTTCAGTTCCTCTTAAGAGAAGAAGCTTCTTATTCATAATGCAGGCACGTCAGATCCCTTTTCAAATTGAGGAAGGGGGCAGAAAAAATAATTGACTTTAAGGGTAAGGGGGCAGAAAAATAACTAACAAAAAAAATTCTCTGAAAAACTTGGACATAAAATTAAAAAAAAAAAAATTCCGCACTCAAAAACCAACTTAATGTGTGTGTGTCTCATACTGCAACAAAAAGTGAGCGGGTGGGGGGGGGGGGGGGGCTGCCCTTTAATAAAAATTTCCATAATAAATTAACAGTAAAAGACTATTATCGGAAAAAATAATGAGGAGCCAGCCCCATCCCCTCTCCGATATACTACGTGTACGTGCTGTGCTGAGACAATGAAACTATTAAAAGAAAAAAAAACATTCATTCAAATTTTATGTGTAAGGGACCAAAAGTGAAAAATATTCTCTTATTTTTATCTATGGCATTGACAAAGTAAATCGGGGTATATTGGTTTGATTTACATCAATTAATACCATTGTGAGTTCCAAAACTTGGGGATTAAGCATTGCCTTTAAAATAGTGAAACATTTCCGTGTTTGAATATTATAATACACATGGTTTCAAGCCCTGCAAAAATCATTTCCTATTTTTTATCAGTTTATTTTTCATAAAATAATTCAGACTTTTATAATACGTCAAATCATAATGTACACTATGGTAAATTACTAAATTCAAGATTATTTTTCACCTTTCAATTATCAAACATATTGTAGATATTAGTGCTGAAACACCGTTTTTAAAATAAAAATGAAATTCCACTCTGATAAAAAAAAATATCGCTTTATCCTTGCGATTTACATGCGGTATTAAATACTTCTTTTATAACTTTAAAGATGTAAATATTAAATTATTCTGAAGTCATCATGTACATGCAAATGGATAATTTTTTATCATGTACATGTAATATAGAAGTTTTTTTTGGCTGAGAATGTCTCCCATATTTTATATGTAAAGATTGAGGGATTGATTGTATATTGTTTTATGTCCCATTCGAGAATTTTTCACTCATATAGAGACGTCACCATATACTGGTGAACAGCTTAAAATTTAGACCTTTACTCGGCACTCAGGGCTATAGAGCAGTGAGGGATCTTTATCGTGCCAACGCCTGCCGTGATACGACAGGCTCCCTTTTTAAGGTCTCATCTGGAGGACCTGCAACTTTCACTTCAACGTGCCGAGCGCTTGGCGAAGGAACATTAATTGCCACCTACATGTATTTCTTTATTGACCTTGGTCAGTCGCGGCCGAGATTCGACTGACGACTTTCCGATCACGGAGCGAGCGCTCTACCGACTGAGCTACCGTGAGGGTTTATATGTAAAGAAAAAAGTGTAAACCGAATGTTAGGATGTCCTAACTTAAGATGTTCCTAACTTTCCGTCGAGCTACATGTACATCTTATGATATATCTTTAGTTGATCTTAGGAAGTTCCTATAACTTTCTCCCTAAGTCATATCTTAGGAAAAATCATTGAGCGTATCTTAAGAAAGTTTCGTGAACATGCCTGCTGGATTATACACTCAATTGTTGGGTCGTATTTTGACTGATGCTATCCATGCCAATTTTTAGGCCATTGCTTTTACACTTACTTGACTACAGAGTACCCCGTCAATGCATAGGGCTCACGGCGGGTGTGACAGGTCGACAGAGGATGCCTGCTCCCCCTAGGCACCTGCAGGCATATTCACAAAACTTTCCTAAGATACATGTATGTCCTAAGCTTGTTCCTAAGATATGACTTAAGAAAAAAGTTAGGAGCATCGTAAGATCAACTTAGGGCATATCATAAGATGTAGCTCGACGGTATCTAGGGAACATCTAAGTTAAGACATCCTAACATACGATGAACACTCTTGTTTCTTTACATATAAAATTTGGTAGACATTTGCAGCCAAAAAAACTTCTATATCACATAACAAAACGTTATCCATTTACATGATAACTTCAGTATAATTTAATGTTTGCATCTTTTAAAATTATAAAAGAAATATTTAATACCGCATGTAAATCGCAACAAAACAAGCGATTTTTTTCCTATCAAAGTGAAGGATTTCATTTCATTTTTCATTTCAGCAATATTTTCCACAATATGTTGGATAACTTAAAATTAAAAAATAATCTTGAATTCAGTAATTTACCACAATGAAGATTATGATATGACGTATTATAAAAGTCTAAACTATTTTAAAAATTTTGAAAATAAACTGATAAAAAATACTAAAATTTTGCAGGGCTCGAGCCCATGTATCCAAACACGGAAATGTTTCACTGTTTTAAAAGCAATGCTTAATCCCTGAGTTTTGGAACTCTCAGTGGTTTTAATTAAAGTAAATCAAAACAATATACCCCAATTTACTTATGTCAAGGCCATAGATAAAAATAAGAGAATAATTTTAACTTTTTGTCCTTTACACACAAAACTTGTATCCTAATGATTGTTTTTTTAATAGCTTCGTTGTCTCATCACAGCACGTAGTACATCTGGAGAGGGGGGTGGGGCTGGTCCCTCATTATTTTCCCGAAAATAGTCTCTTGCTATTAATTTAGTATGTTTTTTTTTTTTTTTTTTTTTTTTTTAAAAGGCTGGTTCCCCCACTTTCTGTTGCAGTGTGGACGGACCCCTCCCCCCTCCGCACATTAAGTAGTTTTTTGAGTGCGGGCAGTTTTTTTTTCTTTATTTTTACATCAAAGTTTATCAAGGAATTTTATTTTTGGGCTAGTAAAATATAATCCCCTCCTTACCCTAAAAATCAATTATTTTTTCTGTCCAATGTGAAGAAAAGGACGTGCCTGCATCATAAATAAGAAGAGGAACTGAAAAATTTCATGTGCAAAATTCAAGTGCTTTTTGATGAAGTGGAAAAAATATTTATCATCTGCAAATTATCGAACATTGTTGCAAAGACAGAGGGCTTGGAATAACATTTGTGAAAAAAAATGTTTGTAAATTCATCAGCTCATGCACAGACTGTTGAGTATCAAAAAAAATGTCGCTTATACTTGCGATACTCAGAAAAATAAGCATCACCACTAACTTATTTTGATCTTAGGACAAGATTTATGTCGTCCTAAAGTTAGGACGAACATAAGGCGAGGTCCTAAATTTACGAAAGCTTCGAGTAAGTGACATAAGACTAAGATATTTCCTAAGACGTTCTTAGGACCACAAGCTCACATCATAGTCCTAAGATAGCTTCGTGAACATGCCTGCAGATCCCACCTCTGATGTTTTCAGGAGTTCGTGGATTTGTCCTATTCAAGATTCGTTTTGTTTACTTGTCTACTGGATTTATGAGATTGATCACTGTTCATTATCTTCACCTTTTACATCATAACAAATTATCATTTCCTGTCACATGTAATATTTTTCTTTGTATCTTGAAATATTGGGAGAAAGCAATAAAATTGAGTGTTTAAATTAAGTTTTTGAGAAGTATGCATACTTAGTAATGTAACAATTTAGAGTCAGAGGTACTTGTAAGGTTACAGAAACGGGGTAGCGACAATAAATCAAGCAATGAAATCGATTTGAAATGGTTCTTTGTTAAGAGAACTAACTCTGTTTCGTTTAATTCTCTTCGTAATGTAAAACAAATAAATCATAATTATCATTATCTTGTGATTTTTAGCTCACCTTGACGAAGTCGAGATGAGCTTATGCTAAACCCCCGGCGTAGGTGTCGGCGTCGGCGTTAGCGTCGGCGTCCCGGTTAAAGTTTTAGGAGCTAGTCCATTCCCAAGTAACTATAAGCCCTACCTGAACCAAACTTGCATGAATGATGCATCTAGGGATGGACACTACCACACTTGCTTCGGATGCTGGATCTGACCTAGATTTTCCAGTTGAGTGACTAGGTTAAAGTGTTTGGAGCAGGTCCATTCCTAAGTAACTATAAGCCCTACCTGGACCAAACTTGCATGGATGATGCATCTAGGGATACCACAATTGCTTCGGATGTTGGATTCGACCTAGATTTTCCACATGAGTGAATTTTAGCCATATTTTAACCAAATTAGCATGGATGATGTAGCTAGGCATGGTCACTTCCAGACTTGCTTTGGATTCTGAATCTGACCTACATTTTCCAGATGAGTGACCAGGATAATTTTTTTGGAGAAGCTATATAACATTATGGCCTGTTATGATTAAACTTGCATAGATGGTGCATCTAAGGATGAAAACTTTCAGACTTACTTTGAAAGTTGGAACTGACCAAAATTTTCTTGATTAGTAAACAGGATAAACTTTTTTTGAACAGGTCTATTTCCACATATGGAGAAATGATGTACAATTTATTCATGAGGTTGCTCCCACGTGATTTACTTCTCATTAATATTCATTAGATCCTGCACAAACTCGAAATCTTCCATTTCTTTAAATTTTTATATTAAAACCTGCAAGCACAGTTTGTTTTGCTTTTTTAAGCCTCCGTCATAGTTATTTCGGCAGAATTTTGGGTTATTAACAGTTGACAACTCATGAAACCATCTTTTATTGGTAATAAGTAGGTCACACTCATGCAAGAAATTGTCGTTTTCAAATTAAAAAGGCGGTCGTAACTCTTCATGAAATGATAAATCATCTGTATTTTATAAAAATAGGCATTCGTCTGCACATATTAATCGGCGGAAGAACTCTGTCAACTTGCAATTAACACTTACATTTAATCACCAAAATGATAAAGACACCAATTCTGTGCTCTTTCCTTCATTAAAACATTATACTCTCGCTTCGGAATTTCAAATAAAAAAGGCGGTCGCAACTTTCACTTTGGCATAAACAATATTGTCATTTCCGGTAGAAGATATTAAGAAAAATCTAAATATCGGCGGAAGAACTTTATCCGATATAGTTAGTATATAAATATCTGCGGGTTTTTGTTCGTTCTCTATTTAAACCTTTATGGAATCTGTCGCCATTATAGCTCCAATATGGCCGGTATGTAAATGAGAAGAATGAACACCATTTCTCCATATGAAGTAACTATAAGTCTTACTTAAACCAAACTTGCATGGACATTGATCTTGGGATGTACACTAAATAAAAAAAAATATGATGTGAAATTTGCCTTACTTAAAGATAACATTCGTCGAGTTGAGCTTCGTAATCTTGATTACCTATGTTTAAACTGTTTTCAAAATGTCTTAGTAGATAAAGACACCAAAAAATGTTATATTGGCAGTGGTAATGATTTCTAATAGGATTATATAGCAAATAACATCCTCTGGTATCTTGCACAAATGCCTTGTAAGGTACCTTAATTTTTGCGAGGAAACTTATTAAAGTAGCAATACTGCAATGACAAAATCTTGGGAAAAATTATATATTATTGAGGAACGTGTCGTTTGACCTTAAAGTATATTATAATTGTCCTTTCTGTTATAGTGTACTCTAAGCCATTAATTCATCGAACTACATTGGAACTCTCCAAGAAATATGGCCCTGTTTTTCGCCTATCGTTTGGTAAGATTTTCAGAACAAATTGAATAATTATTTGAACGATATCTCTTGTTTATCATCGGTCATATGTAGTTTAAATATTTAATATTTATGTACTTAGTTTTATTCGATACTTTTTCAAAAAACACATTTGGTATCAGCTTTGATCATTCCATAATTTTTTTTTTGACCTTTGAAACCAGGACCTATTCCTTTTGTGTTTTTAAATAACTATGATGTCGTTATGGAGGCAATGGTGAAGAAAAAAGCGGATTTTGCTGGACGACCAGCCTCAACTACATGTAAGAATTTACCATTGAATTTTCAAAAAAAGACAAAGGAGGGGGGGGGGGGGTGATCAGATATATCACAGAAATCCCATTGTTATCATTGATTGCAGAAGAGATATTTTGCTAATTTTTAATGTCGAATTATTTTCCCTTATATAGGCATGGGATTATAGAGTTTTTGGCATCCTTTTTAAACATTAATTTTCCTGTAAATAGTTTCTTTGGTCACCGAGGGGAACAAAGACATTGCAATGGCGACATATTCACCTATGTGGAAGTACCATCGGCGAGTAGCCATGAAAGCTCTAAGGTGTGTGCATGAACTCTGTATTACATTATGTAGCAAAAGATATTTATTAGTTATTGATACTTCAAATAAAATAATAATTATTATACTTTATTGATTTCTTTTGACTATATTAAATAGCAAATAATTCCTATAAATTCGATGAAAATGTTCCATAGAATGATTAAAGCGTACCCGAATTTGTTTATGGATGAAAAAAATTTGTTTTCTATAGGTATTTGTTGGCTTCATTTTGAACCCGTAATTAGCTTCTTTGGTCACCGAGTCACCGAGGGAAGCACATTATTATAACGAAATTCTTTCAACGAATTCAAAAGTAACAATTTAATTTCAGTTTAACGAATTCTTAAATTTGTTATAATGAATTAATTTCATTTTAACAAATTCAAAAATTTATTTTATCGAATTCAAAAATATTTCTCAATAGGCTTTAAATGGGCTTCCTTAAGAATGTTGAATTGAATTTGTTTAAACAAATTTAATTCGTTATAAAATAAATAAATTATTCAACTTAAATCGTCATAACGAATTTTAAAATCTTTATAACGAACTCAACAAAGGAGATGGGTGAACAAGGCGTGCAGAATGCCTATAGCTTGGGATAAATAAAAATCATACTTAATCTGTGAAATAACTATTTAGAGTTAAGTTCTCGTTATTGATATTTATGAAATTATGATAAATAAAACTTTTCTGAGTAAAATTTTCTCGGCAAAAATTATACTGTTGTTAAAAAATAATGCGGTGTTCTTGGGACTCGAACCCTGGCAATAAAAATCCTGAGTATCATTTTCTGTTGATACTAACACGTTAACCATTACGCTACACAACTCCTGATGGATACTGACATTTAAATCATGCCTGTGATATGACCCTTAACTAAATGGACTTCGAGTATTTCTCGGAAAGATGCGAATGTTGTGTCATGAAAGTGATTTTGCAAGTTATAGTGGATCTTTGCTCTTTGTTTCTGTTCACCAAAAATGTATATTTTTACGCATACTTTGAAGATAAACTTTCAAAAAATGGAGCGAAGACCTTCTCATATCGAAAAATCATGTTATAGTAAGAGAAAAATGATCCTTTTTTCCCTTTTCGGTGTGTCTACGCTATTTCATAGGCAAATAATTTCAATCTTTGTGAGGTTTTTGCAAATTATGGAGATTTTGCACCTTCATGTTTGTTACACTGTAAACATTTCGCTCGCCTTGTTCACCATCTTCTTTTTTTTATAACAGATTAAATCGTTACAACAAATTAAAAAAAAAACCAGCTTACGTATAATTTGGACAATATTCTTTATAGGAATTACCTTCAAGGCGATCTCTTAGAGAAACTTACTCAGGACAACATGACAAAAGTGATGAACATGATGGCGGCGGAGAAGGGACCTTTTGAACCAATTCCTCACTTGAATAACATCGTCTTCTACCAGTTATATACACTTTGCTTTGGGGAAAAGTGCGCTTTTCTATTATTTCGGCCAATATATGACTGAAATATTACCGACTCTGCATAAAACAACAGATAATCAATTATCAATCTTTATTGTTTAGTGTAGTTTTATAGAAAAATGTATAGAGTTTAGTTTTTATATATTGTGGATGTTCTCAAATATTTTAAATGCAATAAAACGGACCCTTATTCAGTAAATGTAATTGAAGACGCTTGACGCGCAAATATTCTTGCCAATGACAGTGATGTTATCTTTCAAATATTTTTTATTTGATATAGTTTTTTTCTCTTTGTTTGTTGAAGAAAGGACATAGGAGATCCAGATGTGGAGTTCTTATTAAAGGAGAAGGATTTGGTGAACAAAAATATTGAAAATGGTCTCAGGGAGGACATTTTTCCTTTTCTGAAGGATGTGTGTCCATCAAAACGTTACCAAGTTATAGAGGAAGCTATGGAAAGAGTACTAACATTCCTCTATAAAAACTTAGAAAAACACAAGGAAACATTTGATCCTGGTAAGATTCTATAAGCGACGTTAAGACCAAGCTTAATTAGAACTTTTATACATGTACATATAGTATTCTTGGAACTATCTTTGAAGAAACGCAGAAAAAAAAATCACATACATGAATTAAGAAACTCCACGAGGGTAACTGAGTAAGAATGATATAAAGTTCTACATGAGTGTAACAATTAGGTAAATTACTAGTATATATACAATCACTTAGTAAACCAATTTTTTTCAGACAACATTCGAGACCTGACCGACCATCTACTCTTGGCAAGGTCTGAGGCAGAACAGGCGGGGAATGAAGAATCCATACAGAATCTAACAGACACATACCTAGTTCAAACTGTGTCAGATATATTCTTTGGTAGGTTTAAAACATTTTTTGATAATGTATATGGGGTGCATGCCATATCACTCACTGTTCCATTTGAATTGTTAAAGTTTTTATAAAATTAACATAAATCATATGAATATATATTATGTACATTGTATTTCTGAAGGTTGATTCCATGGAATGCAACAAATTCATTAAGTGGTTTAATTATTAAAACTACTACAGTATCAAAGTTTCGGTAATGAGCTCGAGTAACTATAGATTTTTCGATTATGCGTTTGTAATAGATCTTGATTTAATTGTATGTGACTTTGTAGCTGGAGTGGACACTACCAGGCTGACGATAGAATGGTTCCTCTGTTTCATGTCTGCACTTCCGGAAATTCAGGCCAAATGTCATAAAGAAATCGAGGAAAACATTGGTACTTCAGTAAAAACATTAAACAATATCATTCTTTTCTACGGATCCTGATGTTATTTATAATTTGAAAAAAATATTTCCTTCATTACATTTTTTTCTGAACATTTACGTAATAAAGATAAGGTTAAATATTTTTAAATATATACAGTTAAACCTCGTTATCTCGAACTCAATGGACCCGAGAAAAACTGAGAGATATCCGCGGATTAGAGATATCGATGGTAAAATGCTTAAAGAGTATGAATTGTGGTTGGGACTTCCAAGTTACTTACATATCCATGGTATTCGAGATATCGGAGTTCACTTACCGAAGTTCAATTTATTTTCACAAATGTTTCTATGTATAATGCTGACAATCTTAGTGTAACTTTTTCACATGCAAATTTATTGAAAAGGAAGCCGTTGTCCTACAATAACAGACAGACAGATTTTACCGTATACAGAAGCATGTATCTATGAAACAATGAGAGCCGGTGTTATTGCAGGAGTTGGTTTACCCCATACCACTATATGTGATACCCAAGTTGGTATGTAGTCATTTTACTCTCCTTCTTTAGCGCTAATGGACACCATTCAAAGAAGGTACTTTTAGGGCTTTATTCTGCCCTAAAAATTTAATGTTCTTAAAATGTTAGGGAATTGGCTATAATATAAGATGGGTAGAGGAATGTGATAAATCTTGAAAGAATATGGTATAAAGGAGGACCATTGTGGAAATATGACGTCATAAATGTGTTACATTTCTACATTTTAAACAGAAAAAGCCTCAAAATGACTCATTTCTGGGATTATTTTCCTTCAGAAAATAGTGTCCACAGCCGTCGCCCACTGCCATATTTAGATATGTTGTGTAAAATCGTTTTAAAAATCAGATATATTAATATCTTTGTGGACGATGCATGTGCTCTATATATTTTGTAGAAAATTCTACTGAAAATTGATGTCTTCTGCTACTTTTTAAGAAAATAAGGGAAAATGCACAACTTCATGACGTCACAATTAGCATTTAGGAGGTCATATGAGAAAAACGATATGCATCTTCTTACTGCATGGAATTTCAATAGATCAGAAAGCATGAGTTTTATTTTCTTACATATTTTTCATATTCAAGAAAAATACAGGGCAAAATTTGTATTGAAACCGTACCTTGTTCTTTGAAAACTTGTTAATCTATGTTCTTCTATATGTTGAAAGAAAAGGATTATGCTATGAACAGTATGTCCCATTTAGGTATGATATAACCCTTTTTGGTTTAATGGCCCTTAAATACATATATATTTTTAAAAAAACCTATTGAAGGAATCTTTCTTTTGCAAAGGTGGGTATGACATTCCTAAGGATACAATTGTTATCATCAATCATTATGCACTTCATCAGGATCCAACGTATTGGAAAAATCCCGAAAAATTTGATCCAATGCGATATTTAAATGAAAATGGAAAACTGGATCCTTCGAAATTGGAAAGTTGGCTCCCATTTTCTGCCGGAAGGAGGGTTTGTTTAGGAGAATCTATTGCAAAACCAGAAATTATGATGATGTGTGTGCATTTATTGCAACGCTTCAACATCACGCTTCCAGAGGGCGTGAAACCAAATTTCATTGGTGAGCATCGTGATGTATTTGGAACAGAATCCCCAGCGGACTTAAAGATAGTCGTGAAAGAAAGAATGTAATTGTATATTTGAAATAATAATTTTACCCACTTCTTTTGGGAGCGACTGTCATTAGAGTTTCAAAGGGACATAGACTTGATTGATGTCACTTTGAATTATTGTAATTTACATGTATTATTTCTCCCCAAAAGGTAGGAGATATGGTATATTTTAAGCATTTCGTTTTAAGAATGCATTTTTGATTTTGATTGCGATAACAAATGAAATTTCATTTTATGTATTAAGAATTGTTTGGTGTTTCATGTATGATTATGTATCTATTATATAAATAAAAACTTTTAGTAACTTTGGAGTAACATTATCACCAAAACTATATTTTAATATAGATCATTAAGCCACTTGAATGAGCTTGTGGCTTAACGATAAATAACACAAACTTTTTTTCAGAAATCATCAATATTTCTCATTAGATTTATATTTAAATTGGTAATATGAATAATGTTTGCTTGGTATAGTTGGAGAATTTTATAAGATTTTGTCATAAGGTTAAAATGTTGTGCAAAATTTTGTATAGAATTATATAGAAAGCGACAAAAATTCACATATCTAAGCACCAAAGAAAACTTACGATTTCTTTATACTAGTATTTTAGGGATTTATCATTTATGTCATTTCTAATCAAAATCAGTCAAAAAAATGTATATCAATCCATGCATCAAATTTTTGATTGTGTTAAGTATCCTTAAACCACAATGAGCTTGATTACAATTTTCTTAAAGCAATAAACAAATGCCAAATCTTTTCACGACGATTCTACTCATTTCTTTTTTTTTAATCATGAAGTTTCTTGTATGCCCCTGTTAAATGCATGGTATTCGTTACTGAATATTTTCCCATAATTTTCAATAAATATCTAGAAACGCACACACACAAATACTGAAATGCAAATGCATAATTGCTAATATTTTAAACGTGACGGATTATTTTTTCAGATACTGTTGTGACTTTTCAGGAGACTATATTTATTGCTGTACTTACTAATAAAGGCTACTTTTCTTTTTTTACGTACTATACAGGTTATTAAAAATCGGTATCAAATCATTTGTCTTTTTTACAAAAATCAAAACAATTTCAATTTGTGCACCTGTATTTTCATAGTTGTCGGTGTTTAAGAAACTTCTGGAATTGTTCGTGCTTTTATATTTTCAAAGATTATTATTACTGCAACAACCTTGAATTCAAAGGCAAACAGTTATAACTATAGTCAGATTTATAATCGAAATTTTAACATTAAAACAGGAGCAAAGAAATAGATAAAATGCAATGCTATGAAAAAGGTTAAGATTATAAAGAACAGTAATCAATTTCATAAATCCAGTAAAAAAGGTAAATCATGAACAGGGCAAAACACGGATCCCTGGAAACCCCACAGGTGGAATCAATAAATTATCGCTTAGGAGGGGAGAGTACCCCTCATAGATTTGTCACATTCGCCGTGAGCCAATCTAATTAAAATTAGATCTTTGATCCGCTCCAACTAGATCGCTACACTTTGTGTAGCGGTCTAGTTGGAGCGGATCAAAGATCTAATTTTGATTAGATTGGCCGTGACCCCTCTGTATAGGTCAGGCAAACGTGGAAATCCATAGTCAAAATGGTTTTAAAAACAATGACATGATAATTTGTATGAAACAATGGTGTCAGTTAAAATACGACCCAATGATAGGGTGTATAAATTTGCAAATGAGGTTATTAAATTTGCGAAATGCTTACTTTATAGTTGAAAGACCTGAAACATCAATTATTGTCCGTAGCCTACCTCGCGATCAGTTTAATATTTCATCGTACTTCAAACATGCTCTAACCGTCACGGTAGCTCAGTCGGTAGAGAGATCGCTCCGTGATCGGAAGGTCATGTGTTCGAATCACGGCCACGACTGACCTAAGTCGATAAAAAATAGGTAGCAACCGTTCCTTCGCTAAGCGCTCGGCACTTTGAAGTGAAAGTTGTGGCTCCTTCGGATGAGACCTTAAAAACCGAGGCCCCTTGTCAAGGTAGGCGTTGGCACGAAAAAGAACCCTCACTGCTCAATGGCCCTGAGTGCAGAGTAAAGATCTAAATTTGAATCCCTTCACCGGTATATGATATCTATATCAGTGAAAAATTCTTGAACAGGACGTAAAACAACATTTAATCAAACAATCAATCGAACATGCTCTTGAATATATCGAAGCAGTTGGGAGATATAAACACCAAATGTAGGTGATTGTGGAATAGGGAAAGTTGACGATGGAAAAGCTGAAGTCATCCCGTTTGTCATATAGTTTTAAATTAGTTAATTTTTACCGTAGGTGACCATTAACTATCATTGTCAGTAAAACATACAAGTCTGAAGCAGATGTGGCACTCTGTGTGGTGTCTTAATTCGAGTTCACTGGGATACATCGAGTTGACATATGATCGAAAATAACTAATGTTAATTGATAAAATGATGTCGATATATCGATATGTTGAATTGAAACCACAGCTTCATTATTAGATAAAACAGGTCGCCTAGTAAAGGCGCACAATTAATGCTTTATAATACCTTTTGCCTAAGTGCAATGAACAGCTAGGAATTTACACAATATTTATCGTAGCAAAAAGTATAATTACATGTATATTGCTTCTTAATATCTCTGCTGTTACATCTGGGCACTGAACTTTTGAATTTATAATTTTTTTTTTTTACATTCAAAGCTGCCCTTGGTTAGATTTCCAATTAGCTGCCATGAGCAAATCAAAATTTGTAATTTAATTTCGTTGTTCAGAATATTTTTTTCTTCTTGTTGAGATTAAAAATCCTACAACTTTTTATGCAACTTTTTTTTTATTAATCCTAAGGCTTGTAATATTATGTCAATATGCTTTCAAAATTATTTTTAAAAAAGTTCTGTACAATTGCTTATCTTTATTTGTTGTTTCAACTCGTTCAATATGCTAAAGTATTTCTACATATTTCCTTTACAACATCTGAATTAAATTGAAATCGTTATTTACCCAATAGTTATATTAAACCCTTAGATTTATGTTTTAAAGAAATATATTACAAAAATCTTTATAATATGTTAAATACTTACTAGTAGGATGAATATAGAAAAGTAGAAAATATATATAGTGAATACTAGTAATAGTGAGAAATGTCCGTGCTCTTATGTACATTAAACATGTATTCAATATTACTTATATAATACCCTAATTTTATTAAGTTAATTATAAACATATCATAATCAATGAAAGATCTTTAAATTTACTCAGTAAGCGTCCTTAATTCATTCACAAGCATATTTCTGTTCAAAATTTTTTGAAGAGCTGTTTTTTCCCTAAAGGACTCGGTATTGTAATTATTTAAAAAAAAAATGGCATTTATCTTTAAAGGTGCTTAGACACAGATTTGAACTTAATATTTTCTCAAATTTTCTGTATATTATCAAGACTTATATATTGCAATAGTATTTCACACGAAAATATAATTAAAAACTGATTTTATCTGGAAATTATTGGAACTACGAATTCCGGGACGCGTTTGGTTAACACATCTTTGCACTTACACAAATTTTAACTTTATCTTTAATAATTAAGAGAAGAAGCGATTTTGTTATGTATAAATGCAAAATATTACATCTATAATCCAGAAAATTCAGAGTAGAAATGTTCGAAAGCAAAACCAAATCAGCAGTATTGTCAGTCCGTGCTCTGTGATGTGTACAGACTTTAACAAATTGAACACACCCGTGAAACGTAAACTGTTTTTGTAAACAGGGCACGAGCTCTGTTATTGTTAATGTTTACGATTCACCGGGTGTGTTCAATTGTTAAACTCTGCACACACCACTGAGCACGGACTTACAATACTGTGAGTGGGTTTTGCTTTCGAACATTTCTACTCTGAATTTTCTGTGTTATAGTTTTAATATTTTTCATTAATACACAACAAAATTGCCACTTTTCTTCAGTATTAAGAATAAAATTAAAATATGTGAAAGCGCAAGGTTGTGTTAATCCAACGCGTCCAGAATTTCCAAATTTTAATAACTTCGAGATAAAATAAGATTTTTATCATATTTTATTATGAAATGCTATAGCAACATATAAGTCATGAAAATATACAGAAAAATTGAGAAAATATTAACTTCAAATCTGTGTCCAAGCACCTTTAATATCATTAGATATCATTAGAAAAATGTTTCAAATATGTTTTGTTATTTCATGCAATGAGTGAAAAATTATCGAATAGGACGATAAACAATATACAATCAATCAATCTTTATTCGTCTAAATATGCTTTATTTAATCATCATTAACATATTAAACATGCATATGTTATACAATGTGTCGTGTTTTTGTCAAAATATGAACTGCTGAAAAGTAAATTGCATGTAAAAACAAAATGTATGGTTACAAACAGGATTAAAGGTTTAATTCTTTTTCAAAATTAACTTTCAAAAAAGACAAAAAATATGACTGAAATAAAACTTTAACCAATATATATATGTACATAACCTACTTAAACAAAAGCAAACCATGATCCTTGTTCACCTTACTAAAAATTGCGCCCCTGTATCACGCATGCAAATCGACATATGTCATTCAAATTTTGGTTCTGTATTAGAAATGCTAAAGATAAAAAAACTGTAAACATCAAAATTGAAGAAAAAAATTTAGATCGAATCCTGGCTATGCCCCTTTCAAGCATTTTGTAAGAACAGATACATTGTACAAATGAAAGGGAAGCTAATAATTAAAAGAAAAGATGAAAAGATATATGAAGACAAAAGAATAGATATTAGTTACTAGTTTTATGAAAAGCCCAAAAATGGTCTATTTCAATATTATAAGTCGTCTTTTGTCATATGTCAGTCATAGAAAAATCCGAAGATCAGAACATTTAGAAGACTTAGATTTTGCGTATAAAATCAAGTCTTTCAAGTTTAAAGACTTTTCAATGCGAAGAAACAAAGTGCAGATTAGATATAATAATGATAATAATAAAAATAATAATAATAATAATAATAATACATGTAATAATAATACTAAAATTATTATTATTATTATTATCATCATCAACAACAACATTTTCCAATTTCTTGAATGAACTTAATTCGCTCAGAATGTTAAATCGATAACAAGTTTTTGTCATAATTTTTCCACTTTCTCTAATTCTTAGAGGCTTTCCCCTTCGTTTTTAAAAAAGATCGAAATAACCAGTACACTTAATTCTTCTTTTCATTTTTTTTTTCAAAGAAGAAACAGCAAATACAGTGAGAATATTGAGCATCGATGAGTACATTTACAGGACTATTACGTGTA